AGGGTTTCCCGGATTACCTGGCCTTCCTGGTATCCCTGGAGCTGCTGGAATAAAGGGATTTCCTGGGTCATTTGGAAAGGTGGGACAACCTGGACAGACTGGTAGTCCAGGTGAAAAAGGTGAGAAAAAGAGATAGAAGCAGAGACACAGAGAGAGACAGAGACACAGATACAGACAGACACACACACACACACACAGAGAGAGAGAGAGAGAGAGAGAGAGAGAGAGAGAGAGAGATTAAAAAAACATTTTGTTTTTCAAAGTGTATGTTGCTTGTCAACTTTGTCATTCATGTGATGAATGCCAACTCTGTATTAGGCAAATGTTTGAACTTCTGAATCAAGTCCTTTGAAAACAAAGGACTATTCCCTTCAGAGTCAACACTACATGTTATGGACTGTGTTAGTCAGCTTTTGACTACTGAAAAAATTACCTAGCATAAACAGTTTATAAGAAGGGAAAGGTTTAGTTTAGATCTTGGTTTCAGAGGATTCCATCTGTGCTCAGTTGAGCGCGTTGCCTCTGGGCCTGTGGGGGAACAGTACCTCAGTAGAGCATGGCAGCTGGGAAGCAAAACTGAGGAAGTGATAAGAACGAGAGTCTCACAGTCCCCTTCAAGAACATGTACTCAATAACTTGACTTCCTCCTATTCAATTCCAGGCATCAAAGGTTCCCTCTCCTTCCTATGAAGTCAATGGCTGAGAATCTAGCCATTACCACCCAGATCTGGGCAGGGACACTTATTCAAACCAAAATGGAGGCCTCCATTATATACTCCCAAACTCATCCTTGGGAAAGAATTTTGAGTAGGGTCTAAACTTACTGATGGCTTTGGGTTTGGAGTAAGTCAGAGCATACACAGAAACACAGAGTTTGAGGATGGGATAGGGAATAGGATAGAAAGGCCTAAGAACTTGGCTTGGGTTGGGGGCTAGTGTGGTAAGAAACAATATAAATTCAGCCCTGGTGTGACTTTGTGTGTAAACTGTCTCTCTCATGCTGACTGCTTGCTCTGCCTCCCTTCAGGAGACAGAGGGGATCCAGGGTCAATCGGAGTATCCGGCCCAAGACCTCCAATGCTGAACCTTTGGTTCAAAGGAGAAAAAGGCTCCCGAGGTTCTACTGGATCTGATGGATTTCCTGGACCTAGAGGTGCTGAGGCAGGGGCTATTCAGGAGTGATTTTCAAGAAAGGATTTACACCCATCCTAGGCTTCCTTCCTGAGAAAAGCAAAGCTTACCCCCCAAGAATGGCAGTGTGGGAGGCAACATGGGGTTCAAGGAGACTATCTTCCTTTTTCCTGAGCGCCCCTTGATCTTTGAGTACTATTGGCTCTGCAGAACTGAAATTTTGACCCACAGTCTGTGGTATCCCAGAAAGAGTCTGGTAGATAGTAAGGCATAGATATTGCCCAATACTAGATCTGAAGTGACATCAATGGTTCCTCTTTCCACCATCACCCCAAGCTAGCGTCCCCTCACCTGAGAGTACACTTGGTATATGACTTTGGTCACCTGAAACTAGACAAATATTATTGTTGCCTCTAGCCCTTTTCTAACAGATTTTGCTTCTTTCCCAGGTGACAAAGGAGAGCCTGGCATCCCAGGGTTACCAGGCCAACCAGGAGCTCCTGGACAGTCCAGCACCATCAAAGGACTCAGTGGGAGCCCAGGTTCCCCTGGATCTGTAGGAAGAATCGGATTACCCGGCCTGAAGGGGTCCCCAGGGATTACAGGTTTCCCAGGAATGCCAGGAAAGAGTGTAAGTTTATCCAGAGTCCTGTCTCTTCACCATCAAAGAACCTTTACAGCATAGGTGCATGCCCTAGGTTGCCATCTTCCAGATTCCAGGCTACTTCCCAACCCTTCCTTGCCTTCAGGACAACCTCAGAGGCCTCACTCTCCCCGTGTGTGTGTGTGTGTGTGTGTGTGTGTGTGTGTGTGTGTGTGTGTGTGTGTGTGTTTTCAGA